GGAATGAAAAAAAAAAAAACAAAAACAAAACAAAACAAAAAAAATTAAAAAAAAAATTTTTTTTTAAATAAAAATAAAAATAAATAAATAAATAAATAAAAACAGAAAGAAAGAAAACGTATCTCAGTAAAAACATTGATGTGCTCTGCCCCACATCGAAAAGAAACACTACAATAGATTAAATATCCGGCAGGGGTGTAATTGGCTAAGCTAACCACAAATCCCCTTTCAAAGCACTGTTTACACTGGCGATTTTTGCGGCGATTTTTGCTGCAATTTTTTGTGGCAATTTTCGGAAATATGAAATCTTTTGTCTCATCCTTCAAAGAGACATTCGTCTAGGAAAATCTTGGTATCCTGAAAAAAACTTTACAAGTAAATTCTTTGCCATTATTTATTATGGACAAAATCGCAAAAAAATCGCAGCAAAAATCGCCGCACAAATCGCTAGTGTAAACGGTGCTTAACAAACGAAGACGTACCAATGATACAAGCATAAACCACATATATTAAATATATATATCAATATATTATAAACAACGGCTCCAATGAAATACATACGGATTCAAAACTATTCTTCGCATAAATACACATATATTTTTCATAAGTGTTGGTACACCCGGCGGATATTTGCTTCAACTTTGATATTAATATTTTTCAAATAGACAGAGCTTGATGCTAGACTGCTAAAAAATATTAATTGAACAATTCCATATTTTTTATTCAATGCGATCGAAAACCAAATCTTTGCATGTGGCTTTCCGTTTACACTAAATACATATATAAATATAAATATATATTCATACATACAAATAAACTATCTTTGACTTCGTCTATGCCGCTTTTATCGATTTAAAGATAAATTAAAAAAACCCAACTAGGATAACAACTGGATTCATCACGAAGTATTTCCAAAATTATTTGTTTTTCTGTTAAGTACTTTGTCTGCAGCTTGGTAGTTTTATTCAGTAATACCCTGGCATGCCAGAAACAAGCGAAGCGGAGTTGAATGAAGCACAGTTCGACTTGAAAACGCGCGCATCTGACTAGAATCCATTATGAGATAAAATGAAGATATTCATTCACACAACAAACCTTCCTTAGACTTCCACAAAGTTATTGGAAGGTCCAGGCTTTGTGTCCGCGTCAACTGAAGCGGGCCAAGGCAGTGGAATTGAAGTATGAAGATATATAGTCTCTCGATACTAAAACCAAGAACCAAGCCCAGCGGGGACTTTTAATTATGTGATGTGCCTTGGTTGATTCAATTACTGTATAGTAGAAGACTTAAATGCAGGCACCAATGTGCGAACATATGGTAGCACTCGATGTACACCGCGAAATGCAAATGCAATTATGGTCTTGTATTATGGTATTATGGAATAGGATATGATATATGATCAGTTGTACCAGTAATAACTGATATATATATGTGTGTATATATACATATATTTATACATATATGTGATTGTGATGTTATTTTTCCGCCACTATACCAGATTAAAAATTAAAGCGACACGATTAATGATGAAACGGACCTTTGTGGACAAGTTGAGAGAAAGTTCTTTATCATTGTCAGCATCATCATCACCATCGTAAATCATCATCTAATTTCCGCGCTTTTACTTCTTCTTTTTCATCATTTAAATTATTTATTTTCCTTATTAACATTATTATTCCAATTATTATAATTATTATCATCATGGTTTATAATAATGATAATAATAATGATGATGATAATAATAATAATAATAATTAACAATTATAATGATGATAACGACGACGACGACAGTAATAATAATAATGATAATAATAATAATAATATACATTTATAATGCGCTTATTTTAAAAAAATGCTCTAAGCGCA